AATAATAATAATTGCAATGTTAGTCCTTGGTGTTAGTCCTTCTATTAATGTACAATTCTTTTTGCACGTTGTACAACTAATTAATGCAGTCAAAAGTTAATGTACAAAATTGTATGCATGTTGTACAAGAGTATTAATGCAGTGTTGGTCCTTTCCAACTCTCACTTCTAAATAAGGATAAAATATGTGCGGAGTATGAAGAAGGGCTTCCTCAAATAATTTTAAATTTGTGTTATGTAAATTTTTTATAATAGGTTACTTGTAATTTCTTCATTAGTATAAAATTCAATTTTTTTAGTTAACAAACAGTGAAGGAATTTTGTACATTTCATACCATCATTAACAAGTTTTTTGTCACATGATGATAAAGAAGTAAAGATTTTCGAGTTTCGACAGAGACAATATTTACGATTTAATCATGTGATACTACATTTTAATTGTGACACCTAATCACTCAGCGATAGAAATTTATTTGTACTCAATTCCAACTTAATAAATAACATAGGTTAACTTATTCTTATTTTACTAAATCATATATAGTTAATCAATATGACATTTATATTTAGCTTTTCACTTATCTATGATAAAATAATATGAATCGATTTAAACATCAAATACAACATCTTTTTTTTTATCATCACTAAGCTACTACACCAAGACAAGGTTGTGAACCCTCTTCATTTGCTTGTCAAGTGTCAATTAGAAATTCTAGCTTCCGTTTGATCAACTTGAAAATTTGAGTTTTTGAATTTGTAATTTTTCGAACTTAAAGTTTTAATGGATATGCAGTGTATTTGAAAAAGAATTAAAGTTTTATGAGTAGAAGCCTCAAAAATTTAAAAACTTATATGAAGCAATTTTTTGAACTTGGAGTTTTTTTCAATATAGATTTTAAAAAGGGCAAATTACAGAATCACATACTTTTAATGTAAAATTACAATTTATCCCTTAAAAGTTTATAATTATAGAAATCTCTCAAACGGATCAATAATATAAGCGTTGATACATTAATCTGATGCGCGAGATTACATTAATCGTTAAGTAAGATACATTACATTTTATACATGATACACTAATCTGATGTACATTTTATACATGATACACTAATCTGATGTGCGAGATACAATAATATAAGCGCTGATACATTAATCTGATGCGCGAGATACACTAATCTGATGCGCGAAAATGAGGGATTTTGGAAATTTTGTAAAACTTATAGAGGATAATGGTAATAAGTAAACTAAAATGTGGGATTTCTGTAATTTTTCCTTTTAAAAATTTCCATTTGAAGATAAATTTTCAAAATATATGTCCATCAAATTACCAAGTGTTCCTAAACAAAGAGATGCAATTTGGGCCTTGGCAAGTGGGGCAGTAGTATTTGGGTTTAGAACTTTAGACCATGGGCCTGTGGATAGTTAACTGCAGTGACAAGGGTTAGGCTTTACTATTCTTTTATGGAATATTATTATTTTTTATAGTGGTATTTTTTAAATAATTATAGAATATAGTTAGATTAGTAGTTTTACAAATATACATTATGTATTTGTACATCTAAAAATTATAGTAGTTACCGTCAAACACATATATGCTTTTACTTCTAACGGAAGACTAAATAAAGACACGTAACATAATTTTATTCGTCGATTTAATATTTAATAAATATTAGATCGATGGATAAAATTATGACACGTATATGTCTTTTAGTATAAAGGGTATATATGTTATAGTTTTCGAACGACAGACGCACCAATGACAATGTCCCAAAAATATGACTTAGGGTATATACATATTATTTACCGTTCGGATATATTTGTCTTTTTCCCATGTTTAAAAGAAAACAAAAGCGCCGTTTTGCCCACTCCAAAACCTTCTTCACTTTTGCTCTTCTCCATTAGCTCCGCCGCGGAGATCCTTTGTATTACACTTTCTATGGGGAGAAAACGGAACTTGAGCGAAGATGGTGGCAGGGAAGACGAAGAAGAGAAGCCGATGAAAGAGAGAAGGGTGAAAGAGAAGCAGGAGGGAAGAGAAAGTATGCGGCCTTCAATGATTAAGAACAAGGAGAAAAGAGCAGTTGTACATGCTAAGTTGAAGCAGCAGAAGAAGGTTGAGAAGAGGAAGAAGGTTAAAGCTCGTGAAGCTGCTGAGAAAAAAGCGCTTGAGCTAGGAGAGGAGGTAAAGCCTCTGTTGAAATTTACAGTTTTTACGGATTTGGGGTTTAGGGTTTTTAGTGTTGATTTCGTGAATAGACATAATGGGCTTGTTTATTTGTGGGAATTGATTGATGGGTCGATGTTGTTTCTGTTTAAATTTAAAAAATATTTGGTTCTTAGGGTGTAGTGTTTTGATTCTTGATTGTGAGGTTGGGCATTGTGGGATTTTTTGCGCCCATAATCTTTCTAGTCATCCAGCTCGCTTGACTATGGGGAGTCCATGGTGGGGAAGGTGATGCAGCTCTACTCCTATCTTACCTTCACAACTTAAGGTTTAGTATGTGAAGCAAATAGAGTAGCAAAGAAACCATGTTGAAAACAATTAAAAAGAGAACAAGTAGCGACAACAAATAACACGATAACTGATGCAAAGGGGAACTAAACAATGCTCGACTGCCTACCAATTCAAAACCAAACCACAGAGCAAAAAGTTAAAAACCTTACCTTTTAAGCAACTCAATCATTTGGCCCATATAGTATTCATTATACTAAAGAGTCTCCCCATAACATTGCTCATGCCTATCCCATGGAGAAAGGTACAAACCCAATTCCAGACTATCATGGGAATTAATTAATGGGTGGATGTTGTTTTTTTGGAACCGTCAAGTCTAAAATTTAAAAATATTTGGTTCTTAGGGTGTAATGTTTTGATTATTGATTGTGCAGTTGAGCATTTTGGGATTGTTTGTTAAGGGTACTTAATTAATGGGTGAATGATATTTTTGTGAACAGGTTGCCTAAATTTCCAATATCCAGTTCTTAGGGTTTAAGGTTTTTGATTGTTGATTGTCCGATTGAGCATTTTAGTTTTTTTTTTTTCAAACTGCTTAACGGGTCGATGCTCTTTTTGTGAACAGCCTCCGCCGAAGATGGTACCCCGTACGATTGAGAATACAAGGGAGTCAGATGAGACTGTCTGTTTACCTGATGATGAAGAGGTTTTCTCTTAGTTTTGTTTGATTCTTCAAGTTAACAGTGAAATATATGTAGTTTTATCATTGGAGGTTTGGCCATTAAATATTCTGGTGTTCTTCCTGATTTGTGTTTGAAGCTATTTGCTGGCAACGATGTTGATGAGTTTAGTGCAGTTCTGAAGAACGAGCGTAGTCCGAAAATATTGATTACAACATCCCGTTATAACTCTACAGTAAGCTTGTAAATTTGTGCTTCCCTGTTGCTTTGACTATTGATTTGACTTTGAATTTAATTCCACAAATGATTTCGTTATTCCATTCTTCAGAGAGGACCAGCATTTATTTCCGATCTTATTTCTGTGATTCCTAATGCTCATTACTATAAACGAGGAACATATGACCTGAAAAAGGTTCTTTCTTGCCTTCTCTTTTCTCATTCCTTTTATGTTTCTTGGTGATATGAATGAATGCCCTTATATTATTCAAATTCAAGGAGTTTTTCCATTGTACTAGTTCGAAATGTTCATTGCTTTTCTAACTTTTGCAGATCGTCCAATATGCAAATGAGAAGGAATTTACTTCTGTTATTGTAGTCCACACCAATCGCCGTGAACCAGGTCATATTCTTGAACACATTGCTTTTTTTTATTCCTCTAATAATAGCTATGGATTGTGTTCTTGCATTCGTTCACCTTTCCAGTTTCTTTGTCGGTCTGAATTGCCAGCTTGATCATTTTTTTCATTTTCTTTCTTTAGATGCTCTTCTCGTCATTGGTTTACCTGATGGACCTACTGCTCATTTCAAGCTCTCAAAGCTCATGCTACGGAAGGATATCAAGGTTCGATAATTCTCCTTCTAAATGGATCTTTCTCCCCCGCCTTTTCTGAAAAAATGAAGGAAAAGCATAGGAACGTAGTAAGGGCACTTACGAACTTATACTGTTGTCTAATTGCTTCTGGTTGATGCATTTTACACTATACATTACAGTTTTATTAGATTCCTGCAAAAAGATTCAAATGAGCACGAGCTTGTCTTGACGATACTAGTCTGTAATTGATACTTTGACGTCAACTGAGTTGTATGAATGAAATCAACATTCAAAGTTATTTGGTCCTCTTAGAAATTACTAACATTTTCAAATAGATGATGTTGCCTCTGACTTTCTTGTGGAAATTTCATCCTATTGCATTGCCTCATGCCATATTTAACAATTAGTTTGGTTTTCCTTTGCATTTTTTGTGAGTGATTTGCATGTATGTCATGCTGTCTTTGCACTGCGATAATCAATCAGGTATCAAGAAGTTGTATTATGCAGGACAATATTAAGTGCTATTGAACTTTTTGAATTTATGTATCATGTATTAAAACCTTCTTCTTATGCTTAATTGGCATTGTTTTTTCCAAAGATGGTTCAGTTTTCCTTGGCATATTTTTTGGAGACTAGTTCATGCATGTCGTTGCACATAATAATTAGTAAGTAATCAGGAATCAGAGAACTGTATTGTAAAGGTTTTGAATGAGCGTTAATAAACTTCTTTAATTTATGTAACATGTGTTGAACCTTTTCCTTATGCTAAAGTGACATGTTTGTTTACGGTCTATCCTACTTCATTTTCTTTAACATATTAGTCCTTGGATGTACAAAGTTTTTTGTGCCATTATTAGCTCTTAATTATCCTAACATTGAGAAGTGGTAGTGGAGTGTTATGCAATGGGAGGATACCTACCAAAGTGAAAGGGGAGTTCAATGAAGTATGAACTATTATAAGATCATCACTATTACATGGGAGTGAAGGTTGGGCTGCTAAAGTTGAGATGTGAATGCTAAGATGGATGTACCGACATACGAGATTATATAAGATAAAAAATGATCACATTCGCCACAAAGTGCAAACAGCACACATTGGGGATACGATGAAATGAGATGATTTGGTCATGTGCTGTGTCGACTCCAGATACACCATAGTAAGTGAAGATGTTAAAATAGATGAGATAGACCTAAACTTAAATGGAAGAAAGTTGTCTCAAAAGATCTAAGATCTCTTGGAATGAATGCTGAATTTGTGAAAGATAGGACACAACGGCAGAGAAATATTTATATAGGAGATATCAATTAATTGAGAATATATATTCTTTCCTTGGGGCTAACACTTGGGACCATCTGCAGCCTTTGAAACTCGAGGATAATGGACTAAAATATAATCTCAACTAATAGCTCTTACAACTTGGTTCAAGTGGCGAAGGTTGAGTGACTTGTGAGTTTTGTGACTTAGGTCAAAAGTTCAAGTCCCACACCAATTCGAACTAAGCCTGGTACTTAGGTAGAGAAGGGTGGAAAAACATACTTAGTGTCAGCGGAATAATTAGGACATGCTCATTTTTCATGATGGTTCTACTGCTATCACTGCTGTGTGATTCATGAAAAAATTAATGCTAACACTGCTCTGTGGATCTATGTATAACTCAGCATAAGATGTTGTAAGTTAAATCAATCAATCAATGAGGTTAATTTGAAGCAGAATGTATGACTAGTAGATATTCAACTAACGACTCCTTTTTTGCTTGCAGAATCATGGAAAGCCAACCAGTCACAAGCCTGAGCTGGTTTTGACCAACTTCACAACACGTTTGGGGCATCGAGTTGGGAGGTAGAGCCACTATGATTTTCCTGGATTACTATAATCTTGTAATTATTTCCAGCGACTGAGTATCTGAGACGTTTTATTCATTAATAAAAGTTTTGACACCTTTTACTGATGAAGAGATCGAAATAAGATGAGAATCTCTCTTTAACTTATAGCTCCTCTTTGAGAAACTTATGGTACAAGTGATTATCTAAGCTACTAAATGTCTGCTGATTTTGTTCATGCAGGATGATACAGTCACTTTTTCCACAAGATCCCGAATTTCGTGGACGTCGAGTTGTGACCTTCCACAACCAGCGTGATTTCATATTCTTTCGCCATCACCGGTATGCCCTCATTAACCCTTGTGTATTCCGCTTCTGTTTCTAAATTTGAATAGTAAGACTCTTACTAACATGTTCTGCTGATGAACTTATTCGCTTTTGTGAAGCTACATTTTTGAAACCAAAGAGAGCAAACAGAAAGAATCAAAAGGTAAAAAAAGCAAGGATGAGAAGAACCCACCAGAAAGGACAATTGCCCGTCTGCAGGTTTGTGGTTCTGATTCTACTGCATTGATTTTAGGAATACAGGGTTATTTTCAAAATATTTAGGAGTCTTTTCTCCTTGAATGAAGCGGGTTGCATCTAATGGGGTTGTTGCTAGTTAAAGGGAGGATAAATCTTTGATGTTGGATTGAAAAAGAAAGGAACAAAACTATTTTCATGTAATACTGAATTTCTGCTGTTGTTAGACAAGCCTAGTTGTCTATCTGGAACCTCTGAGAAAAATTCAGCACTAAATGAAAAAACTTAATGGGAGTGGAAGCAACAGAACTCTAAAGAAATTTGCATTGGCACAAAATTGTTCACCTATTGCATTAGTATATCTACTCATTGCTTGTGCAGCTAAATACCTATACACAGCTTATTTAAGCTTTTAATCCAACAAGAAGGATTTCTAGTTGCTGTCCGAATCAAACTGAAAAAGATTCAATGTTGTAATATCTAATTAACTTGGAACCACAATTGAATATCCGTGAAACAGCTTTGCAATTAGCTACAAGTGGAATCCCAAGACAAAATCATGTTTTTCCTTTCCATTTGGGGCGAGGGGAGGGAGGGAGGGTGTGAGCTTATTTGGTCTTCGTTTGTCCTTCCTATCTACAAGAGCTGTCATTATATTTGTCCTTAGTGATCAATCCGATTGATTCAATCAGAGTAATATTTTGGATGAATGAATATAGTTTTGATGGTGTCCATAGCTATTATTTTTTTGTGCATGCCAGCTTCCGGCAATGGACATGTAGGTAGCCTGACTTTTTGGTGTTTTCGAACTTACAGGAATGTGGGCCTCGATTTACTCTCAAATTAATCAGTCTCCAGCATGGTACTTTTGATACCAAGGGTGGGGAATATGAATGGGTTCACAAGGTAATCCATGTCGAAAAAATGATGTCGTTTGTATATACATTTCAACTGGAGCTCATGCTTTTCCATACTTTAAATGGATTCTGAACTTGTTTATCATTGGTGATAAATTCTCTGATCCCATCCTGCTTTCTTTCAGCCGGAGATGGATACAAGTCGACGGAGATTTTTCTTGTGATAATGTTGGATGTTTCTGCTGCTGGGATTTCAAGGTCTTTGTACCCAAACCATGTTAAAGCAGAACACCAACTATCTGAGGCTGATGGTCACTATGAAAATTTTGATCTTTTCGAATTAACTGCTTTTCTAGGGGTTGGGGTGGGGGCACTTTTGTAATGGACCATCTCCTATAGTAATTTATTAAAGTTGGGTTTTAGTCTTTGTTTTCACCATCACAAAAGTTGTATGTGACCTTTAGTAACAAGATGATTAATTACTTAATTTAAGGTTGCTGATGTGAAAGCTATCGGAAACAACTTCTCTACCTACCAAAGTAGGGGTAAGGTCAACAACGTACATACTATCGTCTCCGGACCTCATGGGATAACACAAGGTATGTTGTAGTGAAAGCTTAGCCCTTGGCTCGGTAGCTACTAGAAGTTGCTTCGCTCCTCAAATGGAACTGAAAATACTCTTTTTATAGTTATAAACTTCCCTTGCCCAGTATATTGACAAAACAATACAAGATTCGTGGATCTCACGAGTTGAAATTGGCTATACGAATCTTCATTTTCTCTATAGATTTCAATATTTTGTAAGTTTTTCATGTGATGAAAAGGTTAAAAGAATCTGGCAACCAATATAGCAAATTGAAAAGCTAAATCCCAATAAAACAAAGGAAGTTGCAACTGAAAAGAGCAGAATTGACAATCCTCAGATACCATATATCTTAAATAGAACAATCATATGGAAAAAATATATAAAAGGAATAGCGTCTGTTATATTCAGACATCGGTACAAGTTACAACAGAATAGTTCACGTTTTTCTAGTACAACAGCAACATACAACAACAATAAACCCAGTGTAATCCCACGTATGGAATCTTGGGAGGATAAAGTGTACACATACCTCTTGCCCTACCTTGAGAAAGTAGAGAGGCGGTTTTCGAACTATATTAATCTTTCTTCACTTCATAAGTGGGTCCCTATATCATTCTCTGAATGTGACCTACATATATAATATATTGCTTGCTCCTATATCACCTTTAACATTACACATTAAGTAACTTTTGACCCTAAGTAAATAACCCATACAACAGGTATAAGACCTTTCAAGTAGATGCAAGTTGAAGAATAAGCTTCTGCTACCAATTTGTGCTCATGCTTCAGTAATAAAATTCTTTAATGGTGGCCGATAGGCTTCTTTCTACGAGCACCTGTCGAAAGAAAATCCATACACATTAAAAAGAGAAACATGGTTGGGAGAGATCAAATACGTACTAAATTACCTGACTAAGGTAGTAACAACTGCTAGGGAAGCCAGACATTTTATACACATTGAAACATGAAGGGAACGGAAACAACAGATGAATCCAACAAGAACATACTCAGTGTAATCCCACAAGAGGGGTCTCGGGACCTTACCTCTACCTTGGCAGGTAGAGAGGTTGTTTCCAATAGACCTTTGGCTCAAGGAACAAACAAGAGAAAAATCCATGAAGAAGAAGTGAGGAATATCTACTACAAAACACATACAGTTTAATTACACTTGACAGATAATTAGCCGAACATAGAAACTAGTCTGTTTACATCATTACAATGGAGATCAAACAACAAACTCTTTAAAAATCGACTCAACCCAGTTAATACTTTTGACATTATATACACTAGAGTCATACTCTGATTTGAAATCTCTTCCACACTGAACATATCTTTTCTACTACCCAACACACAAGCGTAAGGGGTTGTTTAGTTTACAAGTCTCATTCACAAACATAATCCCAACATAAAATTTCTGGTCATACAAGAAATATAGGCACTACATAACATAATACAACATTCATTGGCCTTATTAAATCTGCTATCGTCAAAACCAACACAGCATATAAAGGAAATTATGTATTAGCAAATGCATGCAAAAGAGTAACTAAAGTCTAAAGATAAACAAGCCCTACTCCACATAACAACACTTGCATTATTCTTCATCATGTAACAATTCCTACATGATTATATCACTGTATAAGCAATTCATGCATTATAATCCCTACATAACTAGTTCGCAAACTAAACAACCCCTAGACATACTAACACGTTAAGATACTTCGGTTTATATACTAATCTAGAAGCTAAAATAATTGTCCTTTGATGAAAGAATGGAAAAGTTTTATCATTTCACTTGAAGGAACTAAAACTGGGCTTATAAGTTTCCAGTATAAAACAAATCAGTTTGCAAACTAGGAGCGTCAGTTTCCTGCATAGCATACTCAATCTTTTGGGTTAATCAGACTATATCTAACAGTTAATATTTTAAATTTATTGTGGAAAACATTAAAATCTGATAGAGATTTCTATGTACTTTAGATAATAGACAACATAATAGCAGCTCCTACTAAAACAAGAAGCTTTTCCAAGGAAAACCAAATACACCAATCATGCAGATGCTGCCTCCTCCTCTCACATTAAAAAATCAAATAGGACATGCTCGAATACCAAAAGGTCACATGGTTAATTTAAACTAATTACTTGAATGAATTTCTACTCTTTAATCCTTTGATACCTACTGACCAATATACCTCTATGTATCAATTTGGAAAACAGAAAATACAGATAGTCGACAAGAGCATATGCATATACTTAGTTACTTTCATAGTTATACACATAGAGTCAGTCCTTAAAGTGATTTACGGGTGGTGAGGAGAACATACAATGTCTAAGGAACACAATTTCTTCACTATACCATGCAGAATACTAAAAGATCTAATGCTCAGTTTGCATTTGGAATATAGCTCAGATGAAAGAGCAATAGACAATATCAGCACACTTTGACTGAACACCAGTACCAAACAGTTTTACATGTATCGATCCAACTAAATTAATAGAAAAGTACCATTGGAATTATATTATTACTTGGGACAGCCCAAAGCCTGAGATGAGAAGTTACATTCTCAGAACCTTACCGGCAGACCTCTTGCTCCAAAGCACCTGAGTATCGATGGTTGTAAGATGTTCATCATCAAGTCGCTTCCATGTTTTAATAGATTTGACATCTCCCCACCCTCCTTTCCCTGTTTTCTCCAAAGATGCTACTACCATCCTTGCCCTCCTTGACCATCCAGCCTTCCCATAAGCGTGATATCCAAATCCTCCAGCATAGCAAAGATTTATGTCCATCAACTTGCCACAAAAATCATTTACGTGATCATGGCCAGCGAATGCTGCCTTTACATCACCAGCTTCCACCATAGTGGTGAAGAAACCTGAATTTATTGAAGCAGAGCTTATGCCTTCTTGTCTAACCCCTGTGAAGTTTGATGAGTCAAAGCTCGCATATTCAGGAAGGGGAATATGAAAGTAAGCAAGGCCTGGAGCAGGAGCCTTCATAGCATTTGAAGTGTGCATGTAAGTTTTCTGCATTTGACAGGTTAATTAAGTTAGTGTCAATGCTCACAAGTTAAGAGATACAGTGACTAATATATATTTTTTGAACAAGAAGAGACAATTGATTAATATAACAGCACCAAAACAGTAATTGTGGTACCTTAAGCTTCCTAGAGGTACGTCGAAACCAGAACTGTTGAGAGGGTTGAATCCAACCATAACCAGGGATGGATGGAACAGTAGAGTAATCTCCACTGTCAAGGAAATACAGATTGAGAACGGACTTATTAGTCAGCTCGGAACCCTCAATCCCATGGACTTCCAGATTATAATTCCCAAAACCATCAATATCAGGAACGTCAGGAGGATTCAACTGAGATAAAGTACTTTTCATGCCAACAATATGTTTCATCACGCCTTCCCTTGAGAGTGTAGATTCCTGGTCATGATTTCCTAGTACTGCAGCCCATGGTATATTTGAAGATATTGCAGGAGCAAAAGCAGCCTCCATGGATTTTACAGGATCCGTAGCATCAGATCCAAATATGTTGTCCCCTGCAATGGTTAAATTGGTTTAATAAAAGGAAAGGTTTTGACACAGCCAGTAAAGGGCAAAGCTTAGGGACGAAATTTTGATGTAAAATTATTGAGTTGCTATTAAGAGAATACTGTAAGTCCTTAGATTTCAGAAAGAATTCAAAATGATGATTGTTCTATACATAAGGTACAGTTAATTGCTCAATAAGTGAGTTCAAACCTGCACTAAATCGAAAGGTCAGGAACAAGTAATAGTATTGAGTTCAAATTTGATTCCCATTTACGTATATATACTACGAAACAGCTCAAAATGCACTTCAATCCCTTTCTCAGTTACTCAAAACAAATAATTAATCAATTTAATGCATCTAGTTCAGAAATTTTACAAACTTTTTGACAATAACCAAACTCAAACAACATCAAAATTCGAGATAAGTGTAAATATTCACACTCACTCCTCTTCCTGAGCAAAGACAATAACACTTAATAACAATATTCACTCTAGCCTGTTTGGCCAAGCTTCTGAGAAGCCAAAAGTGAATTTTCTTTTACAAACACATGTTTCAGAAAATCAAGGCGTTTGGCAAAGCTTTTAGAAAAACAACAAGTGTCTTTAAGAAGCTCAAAATATCAGCAACTCTCAAGAAGCATTACTTATTTTGTATGCTCAGCCGGAGTACTTTTTTTAAATGACTGTGGTGTCCGTGCCAGCTTTCGCACAAGACTAATTCACTTCCCACCAGCAATAGGCACAACATGTACCGCATGACTCTCAAACACTTCATCGACCGCTAGGCTACATCCAATTCTCAGTCTGAGTACTTTTTCGAAAATTACTTTTAACAAATGATCTATGCAGTACAAATCAGGTCTATCATGAGAAAAAAAAAACTCGTAATCCATATTCAAGTCCATCAACAGCCAAACACAACGCTAAATATGAACATCAACAACAAAAATCGAAGAGACAGCGAGAGAGAGAGAGAGTGTGTGTGTGTACCGGTGAACACAATGAGATGAGGTTTCTCGGCGTGAATCATCCTGAAAATGTAATCAGTAGTATTGAGATCGGAACACGAAGACATCTGCTGCGGCAACACATCTTCACACGGCGTCGTTTTTCCATCTCCGTAGTGCATATCCGCCACCTGCAAAATCTTATATTCGCCAGTTTTTCCGTCGAATCTCAACTTCGCTAGCGAATTAACAACTCCTCCAAATACTTTACACAGTTGAAATGAGCTGAGAAATAGGAGCATTAGGAATAATTTTCTCGAACACGAAATCTC